CCCGTTTCCTCAACTCTATTCTCGTTTCTCCTCATTTTTATCAATCTCTGGTTTACCTTTCCAGTGTAGCTTTTTGCAAATATATGTCTCCCCTCTTTCTTACCACAAAAGTAGCTCATGTTATATATATTCCTTTGTATCTTGCATTTTCCACTACATTCTAGAGACCCCTCCACATCAGTTCAAAGAGTTCTTCCTCATTCTTTCTGTTAATTTTATGTTACTCAATTGTATGGATGTGCTACGGCCTTTTCAACTATTCCACTCCTACTGGATATGTTTCCAATCTTTTGCTATTACAAAAGATGGCACATCAGTCTTAAAAGGCAGATGATTATTTAATGACTGTATACATATGTTTGGAATTTCCTTATACATATTAAAAGATTTTAGAAGAAAAAGAAAAATATTACTTACATTGGTTGGTTTTAATTAAGTTATTAACATTCTTGAGAACACTCCGGTTTCATGTAACGATTTAGAAAACACTAGGTATGCCTCATGGTGAGTGTGCAGACTAGTAAATTTGACAAATGTAAGGTGCTTAGACTACCACTTGGCACATTGAAAGAGCTCACTAAATGAAAGGTAATAATAATAAAAGCAAAAGTATTAGTAACTGCAGAAATTTTAAAAATGTATTTTTCTTTATTTGGGCATGTCATTAAGGAATTTGAGAGCTGAATGGACTACATTTTACTCTCTAGTCAGTCAGTTATTTTAACATTTATTGAGTAACTACCATGTTCTAGGTGTTATGGTAAGAACTTGTACCTGGAGCAGAGCATTAGACTGAAGGCCTGAAGGAAAGAATGAAAGGCAACTGGGAATCCAACCACATCTCAGGAGTGGTATTTACTCTAGGGAGGAGGCAGCAGAAAGTTTCCAGGGGCCGGAAATGCTGGGGAACCCTCTTCTTGGGAAACTTGGTTTTGCTCAGATTTGGAGCCTCTACACGAGGAGGAGTCAAACCACAGATGGAGCCAGATCACAGTTAGTGGCAATGTGTGAAGATGCGGTTTGGGAGAGAAGAGAGGAAGTGACTTTGCTCCTCTAAAGGCATAGTCACTTCCTCAAAAGGCTTTCCAGGAGGTTAAAGGAGTAAAGAAAGCCTGAGAGGAGGGGCCCCATTCAAGGAGAAGCATCAATCTATAAAGATAAATAGGGTAATGTGAAAAGAGAGGGACTGGAGATAGGTGGTTTACTTGCTGAAGCTGATCAGAGAAACCTCCCTGAATATTTGCCACCTGAGTTATATATGGATGAAAAGTTAGAGATAGATGTTAAGATCTTGGGAAGGAAAATTCCAAGGAAAGGTAGTGTGACTATGGCTTAATGAAAGAAGGCAGAGTGGAGGGAAACAAAGTTGGGAAGATGTTCAGGACCAGTAAGAGCCTTCGCCAGTAAGAAACGTAGAGTATATTCTAAGGGAGAAAGAAAGTCTGAATGAGGGGAGCAACACTAATAATGCAAGTGGGAAAAGTAAAATCTCTTTAGTAATTCCCCAAATTGGTCATTCTTCAGCTTCACCCCATTTCCTGCTGTCAATAAGAAGCCTCAACAGACATTAACTTCCAAAGAGGGCTAAAATATCCTATGTATTTCCTAGTAATGCTGATGTTTGATCCTGCTCATTCTACTTCATGTTTCACAGGCTAGCTTCCATTTGCTTCTGAGTAGTGATGGTACAGTGAAAAGAATTCAAGCGCTAGCATCATACAGACCTTCCCAGCCACCTTCTAGCTCTCTGACCTTGCACAAGTTACATAATTTGAACCCCAGTTTCCTTCTCTGTGAAATGAGTATGATTACAATTACCTTGCAGGTTGGTTGCGAAGAAGAAATGAAATAATACATGGTAGCAGATTAATGCTTTTCTTTTTTCTCTCTCTGTACTTAGGTTTGTGATACAGAGCAATGGCAGATGTCACCTCCAAGACCATTCCTCTTCTAGCTTTGAGTTTCCCAAAGCTTGAAGCACTCTTGACATTATGCCAGGTGTCCCAGACATTATAGTAGGGAGAGAGAGAGAGGAATCCCTTTGAGAGTCAGTAAGGCAAGACTCTCCCTAACTGTGGAGGGCACAGTGGTCTGTGGGTCCTAAGACAGCCCTGTTCCCTTGCAGCATACAAAGCAGGTGGGTAGGCCCTAAGGGAAAAAGGGAAGGTTGCTGTATGGTGTATTTTTGCAGTCCTGCCTACAAGCAGTGCGGATTACTCCTCATCAAAGATTCCCTTGCCCCAGGTATAGAAGCAGCAGAGCTGCCACTCTGAAAGGACAATACAGGTTAATACCCAAGTATCCTAGGGGTACTCATCTGGAAAGATTCAGGAAGATGGAAAGGGCTTTCCAATGCCTCAGCCCTATGTCAGGGCCTTTGAACAATCATGAAAGAGAAAAGCCCCAGTAATGTCTGAGGTTGAATTTACCACCAGCCTCATGGTGATAGGAGGTAGGTTTTAAGTCCAATTTATGAATATTTAAAGAAACGTACTACATTTTGCTCTTTGTGCACTGTTTTCTTGATTTTGTGAACCGAGATTCAAATCCAATGTACATGAAAAGCATTTACCACAAGGCCTGGCACATTGTTTGTGTTCAGTCAACAGTAGCCAATCTTATTAAAACCAGTTGCAGAACAGTGAGAACAGATGGATTTGAAGCAAATAATATCAAATTAAGTAGAATTCTACAAATGTTTTAATGTGTAGTGTGTTCCAGACAATAGGATAGGTGTTAGCAATGTAAGACATGGACGTTCCTTGCCCTAGAGGAGTGACAAAGGAAGACACATACACAATTAACTCTAACACATGGCAGGATGTGGTGTGTCCCAGTGGGAGAATGGGCAAAACAGTAAGGGCTTAGATTGGAAAGGCTTCACGGAAGAAGTGAAATTTAATCTGGACCTGGGGAAGGACAGGTAAAGTTTTGGCAGTTTCAGCACAGAGAATAGTATTGCAAAGGCAGAGGGGGTAAACATAGAGTTTTGTGTGACTTAAACATTGACTCTTTTTAGGAGAGCTATTAGGAATAAGGTTAAAATGATAGATTAGGGGCAGTTTGAGAAGGATCTTTACCCTGTAGGTAATGAAACACCCATAGGAATTTAAAGCTGGAGGAAGAGAAAAAGAAAATATCCTACAAGCATCCAGAGAGAAAAAAACAGCAGATCCCATACAAGTTTCAGGACTCTGAATATTTCTGGCTTCTCAACAGTAACACTGGAAGCTAAGAGAATATCGAGCAAGACCTTAAAAATTCTGTTAGAAATTATTTCCAACCTTGAATTTTATTTCCAATCAAGTGATCATTCAAGTGTAAGAATAGAACAAATACATTTTCTGATATGCAAAGCATATAAAGTATACCTCATATGCACTCTTTCTCAGGAAGCTAAAAGAGGATGTGCCTCTCTATAATAAAGCAGTAGACTACAAAAGGGTCATTACTGAATGTAAGAAACAGGAGGTCCAACACAGACGACAGGCAAATCCTGACAAGGATGGTGGTGACAGCTGTGTCACTGAGATCAACTAGTTTAGATTGGAGCAGTTTTACCAGTTAAGATGAGAGATTTTTATCTGACAATAAAATTGACAGAATACCTGGTGCATCTGAGAATGTATTGTGAGAATGAATTTTGTACTAATAAATTTGTAATTCATTAATGATAGGCACACATAAAACCAAGCAAAGAGAAAACACAACAATTATTAACTCTAGGAAAAACAAAACGTTGTAAAGGAAAGGAAAAGCAAGCATGGTTTACTCTGTGGTTTGACTGTGAATAGCCTTTCCATGATCATAATAATATAAACACTGAACACCAGCCTAGCCAAAATATCAATATAACTATGTTAAAGGAAGGAGATATGAGAAGGGAGTGTGTGTGTCGTGTGAGGATAAAAAAAAAAAAATCTAAATCCTCCTCTTCCATAGTGGTAAATAAACAGATAAAGTTTAAAGCTGAAAAACCATGAAGTAGCAACATAAACATGTTATTTAGAGATAGGAGGAAGGTCAATACCAATAGAATCAGTTTAAAACAGTTGAAAGTTATCCCTCTAGGGTGAAGACATGATAGGAGAGGGGGACCGAGACTGGAATGATTTTTCAGCAAATCTTGTCAAAGTATTTGACTCTTTAAACTATGTATATAACATAACTTTGTTAAAAACTAAAAGAAAGTGTGGATAGGGGCAGCCCATGCAAAACACTGTTTCAGAGAGAGTGATGGGAGGAGCTCTTGAGGGAGGTTGGGTACAAAACAGAGAAAGGATTGATGTTCTCATTACATGAGAGAGATGACATGTTTATTATCTGTAGTGGGGGAACCCTGCAAAGAGGGAGAGTTTGAAAATACAGAAGAGAACAGGACAAACAAACAGAGACTCATGGACATGGACTATAGACTAGTGGTTACCAGAGGGTAGGGGGAAGTGGGGGGAGGTAGATAGGGTAAAAGGATCAAATATAGGGTGTAGGGGGAGGGTGAAGTGGGTAAAGGGGATCAAATATATGGGAGCTGAAGGAAACTGGACTTTGGGTGGTGAACACACAATAGAATATACAGATGTCAAATTATAATGTACACTTGAAAATTATATAATTGTATTAACCAATGTCATCCCAATAAACTTAATAAAAAAATAAATAAAAATAAAAGAAAATAAGAAAAAAAAGAAAATACAGAAGAGTAAGTGACTATTGAAGGTCGATTCTGAAAGAAGGGAGTCAGATCAAGAATGAAGGAGGACAATTTTTTTAATGAGAGACTACTTACTCTGAGACTAGAAAGGGGAAAATGTATGACAGCAGATACATAAATCTAAAAGATGTGGAATTGTTCCTAGAAGTTCCACTGACTTCTGGGTAACATATGTATAGTGAGAAAAAAAAAGTACACTTCCTGTCAAAAAAAAAGACAATTTAATGACTTTATAAAACATTAAGACAGAGATCAGAGAAATGTCTGATCTCTGACCTAATGCAAGGATGCATCAAGTTCACTTTTAAGCAAAAGATCAGCAGAGATCAGGGCACATTGCAGACAAGACATATCTTGTGGTGTCTTCTGAGAACCAATCCATTCTTCTTTGAGAACGACCTGACTCTTCACATTAGAGGTGGGTGCTCAGCAGCCATGTTTGTATCTTGAGATCTTGTCCTCCTGGTCACAATATGTTGGACTGGGATGGACACCTGCCCCAAGTTTGACGAGTCATTTATTTTTCCAAGAATTTAAATTGTGACTGGGAGACATAGTCTCTGTGTGTGGCTAGAGCTGAGCTGATTAAAACAAACAAACAAAACCTCAAGAGCTGTAGGGTGGGCATGTTAGCTGAAAAGGACAGTCCACACAGAGAGAGAAATATGACTGATATATCTAGCATGCAGAGAAATCTAGAGAACACAGACCAAACAGCACAGAGAGAGCAAGAGGGGCTCTCTAGCTTCTGCTGGCTTTTCAGTTCTGAGTTCTGTTTCCTGTGAAGCCCGGCTAAAACGCATGCTTGGGTTCTGGGCACCACTTCTGTGTCTTTATTGTAAACATATTCTCCTTTTGGCTATGATCATTCTTAGGGGGTTTCTGTTACTGGCAAACAAAACCTTGACTGGAAGGAGCCCCTCCACTTCTATTAGAGTCTTGATTTTTCCCAACTTATTCTCTCTTAGGAAGTCCACAGAGTCCTCATAATGTCTTGGTGTCTTTCTTTTTCAGGAGCAAATGCTCACAATTCAAACCCCATCTTGCTCCTACTTGTATCTTGCTGAACTTCTTTCTATGCTCTAAAAGACCCAGGTTCTCCAGACAGCCTTCCTGGACCACCTCAGACCACAGGGGCTCTCTCTTCCAATGACCGCCAATAGGACTAGACTGTCAGAGGATCCCAGTTACCAGACCACAGCCTAGGCCCAGGATGGCTGCATCAGCATCATCTAGAACTTACCAAAAAGTTACAAACTCCATGTCCCCACTCCTCCCATCCCTGAGAGTCTAATTCAATAGATCTGGGTGAAGCCTGTACTTTTTAAAAGGCTCCCAAGTGATTCTTCTATGTTCCTTCAGGTTTGAAAAACGCTTAATGTATAATACTAATTTCATACTTGACATAAACTAGTTTGTATGGTTACTTATCTCTTTGTGTGTATTTTAAATTTTGTTCACAGTAAATCAAAATCTTCCATGCCACATATTTAGAGAGCATTCAAGTGGATCTCTCTTAGACCACCCCTCCTACCAGGTGCCTTGCAGATATACTCTCCTACCCTCCTAACAGATATGATTGATCCCAAGCCTCAGACCACTCTTTTTCATGCATAGGACTCTAGGGAATGTAGAAAAAGAAGAAAACATTGTAGATTATGGCTAGACACCAATGGCCTCTTCATTACAGAGTAAATATAAACAAGAGTGGAATACTCATGAACCTTTTCTCTCCCATTGCCCTCAATACTGTTATTTGTTGTAGAGAGTTGCAATGAACAGGTTACTCTGCATCCCTTTCAGGGAAAATCTGACCTCAGGAAGCAAATTTCTTGAAGTCCTTGTGTAATAGCCCATTCACAAGTAACACAATGGGCCCTGAATTGATGAGTCAAATGGAGCAAGACATAGATGGAAGAGCCTGAGGATAACTGCCAATCTCCCGTATGAGGTGGTCATGCTCTAAGGTCATCAACCAGAATCCCCTCTTCCAAGTCCCAGCATCCCTCACATCCTGAGAGAACTGGCCAAGAAATGGTAAAAAGGATACAGTGCAAACACCACTAATAAATTTACTGCTGCTAGCCAGAGCTTTGGGTATAGCAAGAAAATGTGCATGCACGTGTGTGGGGGGGGTGGGGGAGAGTGTTGCTAGTGCTAGTTGGTGCCTCACAAGTCCTGATGTGAGTACTGGGACCAAAAAGGAGACCTATAGGACAGAGGTTGGTCCCATTCAAAGTCAGCACAGTGGGGATGTACCGCATAGATTGTGGCACTGAGCATGCGGGGGCTGCCAGAAACTTGCCAGGAATCCGTAGGATGTCTCCCACAATTTGTTTCTCTCAGAAGGGTCATTACCTAAAGGAGCAAAATTCACGTGACCAAGGTTATTCAAGCTCATAATTCTGGGATTCTATCTCTGACTGCCACCTCCCCAAAACCTCACCCCTTCACCTCACCTCTGCTCTTCCATTCCTTGCCCACTCCTTGGCTGTATCACCCTTCCCTGCCCATATCTCCCCACAGAATTTCTGATTCTTTACTCTCCTCCTGTTCAGAGACATCACTTTTCTCCCCTAGACCCCGGGGCCTCTGCACCTGGGGACGCTGTGCAAGCATGTGCTTGTGATGATGAGGACAGTGCCCACGAGGAAGCCCATCAGGCCAGTGGCCAGGCCCAGGGCACAGACCAGGGTGTCTGTAGTGTCTGGCAGCAGAGGCACCTGCGGCTCTGGAAGAGAAAGGGGTACAGCAAAGGATTCTAGAGTAAAGGAAACACGGGACTGAGAAGAGTGGGCTGGGAGAAGGCTCCATACCCCAGTGCCTGAGGAGCGGCTCATCCAGGCCCCAGTGCTCCACCTGGCAGTCATAGAAGTCATCTGCTGAGGGCACGAAGGTCAGGTAGTGGAACTTGCGGAACAAATGATCAGGCTGGGAATAGAAGCTGGTCTGAGCCACCCCCTCGGTGATTGTTTGACCATTGCGTAGCCAGGTGATATTGATCACAGGGGGGAAGATGTTGTCCACGATGCAGATGAGGACGTTGGGCTGGCCCAGCTCCACTCGAGACTTGGGGAGTACAGTCACCCTTGGAGGCACTAGGAGAAAGAAGGCCCTGAATCCCAAAGGATCATCCCTGCAGCTGGGCCTTATAATGTCTGAGACTGAGGGACATTTCCTCCTATTTAGCTGTCTGCATGCAGTTAACCGCTGGGATGGTAATGACTAGGGCAGCAGCAGGAGGACAGAGGGAGAAGAGACTGAGGAGTGCAGTGTGGCACCAAGGGCTCCTGCATCTGACAGGTCCCTGAAGGGGAGTCCAGGTGGGAGGGGTCTTTCCTCAAAAAGAAAGGGGATGCTGAAGGGGTCTGGAAAGGTCTAGAGCCTCCCGGGAAAGAAAGGGATTGAGCACCACAGTCACAGATTCTGAGAACAGATAGCAGAGCAGATAGAGAGGTGGGGAAGGCTTCTCTGGGCCTCCCCTGACTGACCGAGGAGGAGAGGGTCAGAGGAAGGGCCAGGTACCGTTGGTGGCTCTGGTGTGGTTGGAGCGTTCCACCAAGATGTCCAGATGGGCTTTGATCATCGCAATGCTGGCCAGCCCATTCTGCGGGTCAAAGTGAGTCAAGTCGCCAAACTCAGGCAGACGCCACACAGCCTCCCTCTTCTTCAGCTCCACAGAGAACAGCTGTTCCCCATCAAACTCATGCGTGAACTGACCTGAGGCATCATAGGACTGGTAGAAGGCTGGTCCATAGGAGCCCATGTGGTCAGCTGGTTGGATGAGTTCAGGGTCAGGGAGAGAGAGAAAATGTATCAGTCTCATCCATGACAAATGCTATTTTGAGTCTCTGAGCCTGTGCCCCATGCTGAGTCCTAAGAGGGCAGAATCCTGTTCTGACCTGAGCTGATCCTTGGAGAGTAAAAGGGCTGATAAGGGGTGGAGGGGAGAGAACAGAGGGAAACAAGCAGATGCCCAACACACTCACCAGCACTAATACATAGGTGCAACCTGGCATACCAGGTTGGGAAGAGATGAGGCTGCCTAAAATCATGCTTGGGATTCCCAGGATTAAACTGTGGCTATGACCATTTGCTCTAACTGTGCTCTCAGGTCCTGTGTGTGAGATGAGGGTGTGCGGGGTGGGGTGATGAGAAAATAATTAGAGACAGGCACATAAGATGGAGCTTTGGGCACAGAGAGGCAATGTGGGTAGGTGTGAGAGAAAACAGGCAATGGCTGGCAGGAATAAGATTTGTGATACAGAGACCAAAGTGATAGGAAAAGGCAGCCCAAGATATTGCTGAGAACACTGGAATAGGCATTAGAAATTCAAGTCCCATCTCTTCCATCTCAGAGCATTATGGTTGAGCATATCTCTTCCCATAAATGAAGCTCAGTTTTCTGAAAATCGGGGGTTAGGTTTTAATTGGTAAGATACCTTTAGGAAGTATTCTAGGAAGTCGTTTGTTCAATAGTTGTGGAGGAACTACCGTGGGCCCGGTACAATGCCAGGTCCCAAGGAAATACAGATGAACCAGCTGTGGACCCCATACACAAGGAGCTCACTTCCAGAGCAGGATAAGACAGATAAACAGGTAACTAGTGACATGGTGATGAACACTGCAGTAGAACTGGACTTGAATGGGCATACTCCAAGTCAGAAATCAGGGTGCTGGGGGGCAGCAGGATGGACCTTTGGGTCTCAGAAAGGAAGAAGGAACTGGGGAGGCGCCTAAACCTGAAAAGGCCTGAGCAGAACACTGGCACAGCTGGACTGAGCTGCACCTGTATTTTAAGTCCAGAACAGACAAGAGAGAGGGATTAGGGATCTCTTGGTAAAGGAAGTTGCCCATCAATCAAAGCGAGAAAGGAACAATTTATGCTCAGTATTATCTCTCACATAAGCCAACACCCTAAATCTCCTCTTTTCATCCAGTCACTCCCAGCACTCACCCTTGATGGCCCCAGCTTCCTGGGGGCTCAGGAACACCATCAAGGTGTGGAGTCCCAGGACCAGCCCCCCACTGAGGACCATTGCCTTCTGGTGCTTTAACAAAACAAGTCTCAGTCACTGTCAGGGGTAAAAGAACAAGGAAGAGGTAAAGAGGAAGAAAACAGATTCTAGGATGGAGCAGATGCCTGCTGTATTCAGCCAATCAGAGAAATTCTCTGAGTTAATGTGGCTGTTGCCAGGCAAAGAAGTAAAGAGCCTGGGTGAGAAGATGGAAGACTTCTCTGGGCCCAAGTACACCAGGGAGGCTTGGTCCACAGGAGAGTCAGAAGGAAGTTTCTGTTTGGGGAAATAGAAAGGGTTTACATCAACTCTTACTCCATCCTTCAAGAAGGCACCCTCTGAAGAGGGAGGAAAGGCCACCAGGCCACTAGGCCACTAGGCTCAAACAAATCCTCTCTCAGTCTTGATCTGTGGCATAGAGAATGATACTATCCCTACAAGTTTATGCAGACAATTTGGAATTAAAATATAAATTTTACTAAGAAACTTGGTAAATCGTGGAAAGCTCATGATAGAGAATGTTGCTTCTTTAGTAGCAATTGGGTATTGAGTGTTTTTTGTTTCAAAATACATGAGGATTTTTTTTAATGTATGGTGGGTTTTTTCATCATTAACTTCTAATTTAATTGCACTATAACCCAAGAATTTTGTTAGTATGATGTATCTTAGAAATTTATTGAAACTTACTTTGTGGTTTGGAATGTGGTCAATATTTGTAAATGTTTCACCTGTGCTCTGATTTTGAATGCAGAATTTTGTAAATGTTTCTTGGATCAAGTGTGTTGATTTTGTCATTTCAATCTATTGTATCTATTTTTAGACTGACCTATAAATATTTAAGAGTAATGTGTTTAAAGCACCAGCTATACTGTTTATTTTTTTACTTGTTTCTATTTTAAAATTGATTTTTGTCCTCTATATATTTAGGTTATTAGGCACCTGCTTTTTGGAATTATTAGAGTTTCAGTGAAGAGACTTTTCCCAATTTGTAATGACAGCGTTGCTGTCTTAAAGTCTGTTCTGTCTGATATTAACACAGCTACACGGCTTTCATTTGTTAGTATATGTTTGATATATGTACTTCTATACACTGATTCTTCAGATGTAATTGTTGTAAATATCATAAGGTAGATTTGGGGCCTGTTTGTTGTTTTTCTTTAGAAGTGGTGGTATTCTTTAAAGGGAGGGAGTTATTATTTTGGCCTGTGAGTATCCATCTGTGTCAGTATCATGAATGTAAAGAGAAGAAAGAGTCAGAAGCCTAGGTCAGCCCAAAACCACAGTTATTACCCTTTTGATGTCACTTCTCTAAGTGACACTTCAGATCAAGGCTTCAGGATAAGAAGTATTGGGAGGGGCTAGTCGTCCTTGATCTATCAGCCAGCCCTGGGCTGGAAGATGAAGTGCTGGAAGAGTGAATGACTACAGCAGTCAGTTGTGATTGCTGTCCCCATCTCTGCCCCAGTCCAGCAGGGATTTCAGCCTGATTTTCACTCCAACTCTCAACAGCTATAGGAGCAATCAGTATCTTCCACTGTTTTCTGCAGCATGGGGCAGCAATGACTGTCCAAGGCCAGCATTAGGGAGAGGCAAGAACAGACAACCTCTGATAAATCTTCTCACGGTCTCAGCCGTAGCCCACACCACTAGTTCAAAACAAGTTTTAATCTCACTAGGGGTCCTCACTATTTTTTCTCTGTGATTTCTCCCTGGTTGATGTTTAGGTGTGGGAACCAATAACACATGCTAATTTATCTTGGAAGGAAGCAAGTCTCTCCATTATTTTGTTGTAATATTTATGTATGAGCTACATCGCCTCTTAGATAAAAGGCCAAGGGGTCATAGTTTATTGAATCTTTGTTATACAATCTCCCCTCTCCCCCAAATGCTAGCACATTATTAAATAAATGCTTGTCAAATAAACAAATAG